TTTTTTTCAGAGATTTCAAATCAATTTATATTATATTAGACAATGGAAGTCCGAACTGATGAAATATACTAATATAGTCATTTTTAAACAAAATTAACATATCTATGGTCTATTGTTCTATACCTTTTGACTGTATATACAGTGTGTCCCATTGAAAATTTCAATTCAAGGACTTGAAAAATGAAACATTTTTCCATATCATACGAGGCTTCTGAATCAAATATAAAACATATTGTTGTGTTGATCTTATAATATTAATCGGCAAGGAAAGAGGAAAACTCCATTTGAAATTGAGGTTATAACTTTAGCAAATTGTCTTGTCTCATTTATTTTTGTCCTCTAAGCATGACTGGATCCTAAAATTTATCAGTCAGATTTTTTTTCAAGATATTGCTATTTGTAATAAAGAAAACTATAAGATGTTTCTTTTAAAATACAGATCTGTCAAAATTGAGTAAAATTTGTAATACTACACAATTTTGGAGGTTTATCAAAATTTTTCAGGTTATGTTATCTGAGTTTGACAGATGTTTATGTTTACGTTTACCACAAGATGATCTTGTCTTTGAAACTGTTTCAAAATTAATCGAACATTTTGAATTATTATTTGATGTTATAATTTTCATTGGGACATGCAGTATGATTCTTTGCTTCTAATATGTGTGTGTTTGTGTGTTTTGGCTTCTGGTTCCTGCAGGGAGGTGATTTCCAGGTTTGTAAAAATATGGAAATTAGAAAAAATTGCACCTGTTTAGTTCATTGACACTATTCACAACCCCCACAATTATTTTATATAAATACCAAAAAGTACCAAACATTTGCCTCTCATATGAGACCTACGATTTTGTAGGTACGTGTGTGGCAGATACTCGACGGAAAAACAACAGCTAATCCAGCTAATGTCACGCAGAAAGCTGAAGTAAACCCATCAGACACTTGTGCAACGTCTTTTATTCGAAAGAATGGACTCGTGTAACTTTCTATACATGAAAATCTGAAATTAATTCCATTTGGTAGGTATGTCCACTGACAGATCAGTTTCGAAGTACTAGCTCTTTGTCAGTGCCGGATAGGTCATTTCAGACGGAGTGAACCGTCTGAATACCCCGAACAAACAAAATAGGAGCTAGTATTCCAAAACTGGTGGTTATCTCGATCAAATGAAATTAATTTCAATTTTTCATGTATAGAAAGCTAATTGCCACGAATCATCCAAATGGAAGACGTTGTACAGGTGCCTGATGGTTTTACTTCAGCTTTCTGCTCGGCATTAGCTGGCTTAGCTGTTGTTTCTCCGTTGCATGTGTCACACTTAACTACAAATTCGTGGGTATCACATGAGAGGCAAGGTTTTGGTACTTTCACATGAACTTGGGCATTTCATATGCACCTCTCCAGAATATTTTCATTATTCTTACTCTCACCACGGCGTATGTGATTGTGGAGTTGCTTTAGGACTTTGTCTGCAGATGACGCAGTGGTACATCCTACTGAATCAACTGCAGGCAGAATTTATGACTAGTTGGGATTAATAAGGGTTTGGTACTCTCACCACCAATTCCAATAACATATAATTCATTCAGTATACACAACTCCGATAGTTTAAACTCATAATTTTTTAAAACATGATTTCACCCCAGTAACATATATGCACAGCTACTAATATTTTCTGCCTTCTGTCAAAAACTAAGATATCAAATCTTTGTCTGTTGATTTTGGTTATGCAATGTTTCGTTTTTTTAATTTTAATTCAATATGTATATGATTTTTATACGTAGTATACATCTTACAGCTTCTAGTAGTCACAGTCAAAACTGAACTTGTGCCCTTAACAAAAATTATAATATATGTAAATAATTGTTAGGTGAAGGTCGGAAGTAGTTTTTTTTCAGGATTCTGTTGAATTTTAATATCTGGAGAAGGGTGTTTACATTCATTTCATGCCACAACATTGTGGTGTCGTCGGCGAACATTTATCTTTATGTATTTGAGAAAAATGATGGGACCCAAAATTGATCCTTTGGGTATTAAATGGGATCAATATTGATTTTTTTCACATATCTCACAGCACTCTTAGATATACTTTATGTGGTATAGATTTATAAGACTATTTTTTTATCACAATTTTATTTTAATTTTCACTATGCAGGTTGATTTATTAGATATGTAGATACTAGAATAGTCAACTTTCTAAGGTTAATATATTGTATAAAAATTGGGGGTTACCCGTTGAATAAATAAATAAAACAAATAAATAAATAATGATGGGGAAGTAGAAAACCCCAGATGTTTTATCTCAAAAGCTAATCTTTACCAAAAATATCCTTTTTTCAATTCAATGTAACTTTTGCTTCAGGAGGAATTCTTTATTTTGGTATATTACAACGTAATGACAAACGTATTACAACGTAATGACAAATTTCACAATGAACTAGTCAAAAGCAATTAGTGTTGCCATTTTTAGATAAATGAAAGTATTCTCCATCACAGTATCTTATCAAAATAGTTTTTCGCTTATAACTAATTTACAAATGCTGATATGCAAATCAATATTTCGTTTGCCTCAGTCTTCTGCTGAGAGCGTGACAAGCTCTATGGACCCTCAGCTCGAAAGACAAGTAGAAACCATCCGGAACCTAGTCGACAGCTACATGAGAATAGTGACAAAGACCACTCGAGACTTGGTCCCGAAAACAATTATGTACATGATCATCAACCATACCAAAGATTTCATCAACGGGGAATTATTGGCGCACATCTACGCTAGCGGCGACCAGTCTCAGATGATGGAGGAGGCGCCCGAAGAGGCTCAGAAACGAGAGGAGATGCTCAGGATGTACCACGCGTGCAAAGAAGCTCTTCACATCATCGGAGATGTTTCGATGGCCACCGTTTCTACGCCAGTACCGCCGCCGGTGAAGAACGATTGGCTGGCCAGTGGCTTGGAGAACCCGAGGTTATCGCCTCCGAGCCCGGGAGGCCCCAGGAAGGCTACCCCGCAGATGGGGACTGTCGGATCTAGTGGTAAGAATATTTTGAATGCTTTCTTCATCTAACTCTTTGTGATTTAGTCGCTAGAAGGGTCCGATTAGGTAGTAGTTATTTTTGCTATCATTTGTGATGGTTGGAGGTTGTGAAACCCAATTTTTCAACATCCCCTTCCCTCTATGTTTTCTGCATGGTTCGGCATTTTTTACAGTTTCCACGACTACTGGCAAAGTTGGTATAGAGTAGCAAATAATTGTGCAAAATAGTCTTTTGCCCTCACTTTGCTTTAATTCTACTACTAACTGATTGTTGTAATGAACCTTTACACCGATATCGGGATAGCCACGTTTTATATTCTTTACAATTTTTTTGTCAGTGATTCTTTCAAAATTGATTAAATCGATGGTCGTGACGTCACTAACATTTGATATGAATTTGGCAACACCGCAAAACTTATTCGTATTCTATAGTTTGAATTTTTTTTTCTTCCAGTATTCATGTTGCTCTGATTGTGCGTTCCTTTGAGATAATTCTTTTATTATGTTTAATTTTATCATTTATACAACAAGAATATAAGTGAGGATATAGTTGAAAAGTGGAATGAAGAAATAACCAAACAACAATTTTGAACTCCACTCAAAAAAAATTCAACTTCTTCCCTCCATTCATCTTCACTCTTTCCAACTTTTTGAAAAGTGGAATGTAAAGATAACTTACACTTCCACATTTTAATCTAGAAGAAATCTAGTACAATCGTTTCTCATAGAATTTAAGTAATTCAAAGCGACTATTTTAGTCCCACCTCATTTTCTGCCCTATACATCCTTTGCTATTGGTCATGGAATCATTTCTTCCGAAAATTTTGTCTTTTGCAAGATTGAGGCACATTTTATTACAATGTACCATTGAACGATTTTTTCAAAATGACAAAAAAGCAGAGGGGCGAAAATGACATAACCTTATTTTTTCACTCTCTAATTACCCCAAATAATATAAAAAATTTGTAACTCTCTGATTTAATGTAGACTTAGACCCTATTTTACCTTTCTAGCCATTGGATTATTTCGGGCATTTGTCAGAAGGGTTTGATGATATGTAAATTTTTTTTTATTGAAGTTTTCCGTATAGCCCAATTATTTTCATTTGACAATAATGTCTATTAATATTTTTGGTTTTTCTTCAGTTGTACTTGGCAAGAGAACTCCTGGTTTTAAATGCACCCTTTTCTAAATGCATGGCTTTTTTCTAACCTATTTTGAGATAGCGCAAGAGGATTGTTTCTAAAAAAATACTAAACCTGGTACTAAGTTCCTTTAATGAATGCAGAAATTGTGACAGATCATTCATGAAAAAATGCATTTTTTGTACTTTACTGTAATAATGTAAATATAAATGTGAATTTTATGTTGAATTTTTATTCTTTACTATGTCATAAAATAGTTTTGTATTTTTAGTTATATTTTCAGTTTTGGATACAAATCTGGTTTATAATTTGCAATGCAGTTACCCATTGAAATATATCGATGTGGCTCAAAGTCTCTGTTTATTTGGCAGAGATCAATATAAATTTTCCAATGTTGACGTTTCGAATGATTTCAGTCATCCTCATGGCACTGAAATATAAGTAAAATGGGAAATATGCTCAATATAACGTTCAATCAGTCGAGATATCAAATTGAAAAAACCTTTTGTTTACATTTAGTAAATATAACTTTTTATTCTGAATTGAAAATATGTTTATATGAAAGATGGCTTAGCACAGAGGAAGTTGAGTTAAAATGATATTTCAGTTGACATATGCTTGAAGTTTTTGTTATCTGGGTTGCAAAAACACCTCGTTTGATATTATAGAGGTTAGAAAATCACCCACTTTGAATGTTTTCATGTATGCTGCACTGTAACTTTCAATATCAGAAGTATTTTCTTATCGTATTAAGTAATATTTTTTTCCACCTCTTACATTTTAGTATCCTGAGAATGGCCGGATAAATTATCAAATTGATCGCTTTGACAAAATTCTATTTTTATGTAATGACCTTGACCAAGTAAACCATCCAAACCTCCAACTGTTAAATTCTTAAAAAAATTAAGTGAATTTTCATTTTTCGCAAATTTTATTCAACAATTTTCATTTTGTCTCCTTCAAAGTAGTCTCCTACAATATAATACACTTGTGTCAGCGTTTTATCCAATCCTGATGTTCATTTTTTGTATGTCCTTGAGCTCTCTCAACGATTCGGTTTATATCTCCTCAACCGTCGTAAAAGGCCGTCCTTTCATGGGTCTCTTCAATCTTAGGAACATGAAAAAGTTGCAGAGGTCCAAATCTGGTGAATACGGTGACTGAGGCATGATTTTTTTTCTCAGGTTCCTTGGGCTCTAGGGTGCCCCCACCACCCCCCAGTTCTGGTAGGCCAGCTCCTGCCATTCCCAACAGACCAGGGGGTGGTGCACCTCCTATGCCTCCGGGAAGACCTCAGGGACAAGCTCTACCAGCACCCCTCATTCCCACGTAAGTAAGATGTTGAAATAATAATAATAAGTTTCATGAACACCACTTGTTTCACATGTGCAAGATGTTCTTGTCAGGTATTATACAATAGAATCAGTTATGAGTAGTGTAGAAAAAGTCATCTAAACTGTTAATATGGACAAATAGGTCTAAATTAGTACAAACGAAAAATTAACGTCACAAAATTTTTATTGCAAAGAAGATATGAGGGTTAGGATCTCACAGTAAAAACTTCTTATGCTGTCAAATTCCCGGTTTCAATTATTCACTGTGCTAAGAATTGTTCACTTACGAGGACTGTTCAACAAGTAATGGCGAAAAATCCTACAGAAAAAATATTATTGAGTTCTCAAAATCTACAAGATTTAATCTGCATATTGCAGCAAGATAGATCACTTCAGCTGTTGCCGCATAGCTTTTGATAATGACTGCCGCAGTAGCAGATGAAACATGGTCTGCAGGTATTAAAACCTACAGACCATGGCTGATAAACCCTGAAATAACAAAGCCACTGTTCACCCCTTTCATTCCAACACTCCTTTATCTCTATTCTGGTCACAAACTACAGTATGTCTTTCTCAAGTTATTTGCTATGTTCCTCCACAGGTTTGGTGACGTTGTGATTGGTCTTGAATTTGCGTACTCTCTATGGAAACTTGATGTGGTTGATGTATATCTCTCTTACATTACAAACCTGAATTGTAATAATTTGGTGTGACCATCTGATCAGTGAAACCATATTGGTGCAAAAAATTCTTGGATTAATAAATTATAATCCTAAAAATGTTAGGTTATCTGGTTCATGAAATCTTCACCCAACATCGTAGTCAATAATTTATCGTTTCAATTGTTTTTTAACTTTATGTTCATGCCATAGAGGGCAGGCAAATATCTAACACACATTACATTCAGAGGTTCTCAAACTTATTTTGTCTACCGCCCACTTCGAGAATTAATTATTTTCTAGCGCCCCCCAAATTTTATTACTTTTCATCTTAAGAATCACATTCACAGTCACTATTTTAATAATTGAATTATGTGTGTCATGTGAAAATAAGATTTTCTGACGAGGGTAATGCAAAACATCATTTTGTAATATAAGGAAAACTTTTACTCATGTTATTAAAACAAACATTTCAATCTGAATTTTCTAATGTGAAGGATAAATTTGATGATTTTTAACAAGTTTGTTTATATCAGGCTCGGTCACCGCGTTCGGTAATTTTTAACCGATTTCTCTTTTTAGTTAGCAACGTTGCCACAGCAATAAATCCACGTTCACACAAATACGATGATGGGAATGCTATCAAAAATCGTTGAACGAAGGACCACAATCCAGGGTACAATTGCGGGATTGGCTTTTGTAGCCAAAATTCTTGGTATTCATTTTTGAATTTTATTATTTCCTCGATCGTTATCAGTTCTATGAGTTCTTCTTCCAGCTGGGGTGATCCTGCTGTGTTGATATTTGAAAAAGGATCCAACACATAGGCAAAGATAGGGGTTTTCAATAAATCCATATTTTATATATTCCGCACTGCCGTTTCTTTTTTTTTTGCTCTCGACATAATTTTGTCTTCAAAAATGCCGAAGTAAAGAATCGAGTATTAAAAACTTCTAATGACACCACTTACAGTGTTCACCACTGCACTTTACCTAGTTAGTCGCTAACTAAATTCACTTGTTTTCATAATATCGTCGAATGACATTACTGGATAGATGGCGCGCCCACTTTTATATGAGGCAGCGGGCAGGCCTAGTACTTTCGAGAATGGAGACTAGAAACTTCTCGCTTCGCATAGTTTGACAACTATCGGACATGAAATAGTTACTGTCTAGTCCCCTAGATGGCGTTACACGAGGAAACCCGCGTTAAGCGTAAAGGAGCGGTAAAGTTTGTGTTAAAAGCAAGAAAACATTTTTAAATTAGCCATCACCCCTTAAACCGCTTCAACGCTCCCCAATTTTCTCTGTGCCCTTTAATGCCCACCTATAGGCCTCCAACGCCCACAAGGGGGTGTTATCGCCTACTTTGAGAAAGACTACATTACACGAATTGTTACATATGTTCACACACTTGAAACTGTTATAGATAGCTGAATGCTGTTACCAGGGTTACTATTTTTGGAACGGTACTCATTCAAAATACTCGTTGATTTTCATAATAAACACATATGGTTCTTTTGCGTCGTTAGTAGTGTTTTCGACAGTTCCTCGCGAGGTTTTACTAAAAAAACTCTGGCTGGGAGGAATCAGGGGGCATAGTTGCATAATGGTTCACCTCATACGTGTAGGACAGGAGTATATTCTTTGAAAAAACAAACAGAAGACACTATCATTTTTTCAACTAGTTTCAACTGGTTTCGATAAACAATATATTCATATGTTTCTATTATTTGTAATGTTTATGCCTTGACAATAACAGTTGCACAATTTGAATATGCAGCCACAGGTTTCCTCTGTTTGAGCTTGTGGTTTTCTTTTCAGGAGGCGTTAAGAACGTTTATATCTTCATTGAATACATAAAAATCACCACACAGTTGTATAGGGAATAAAGTATATGCAGTTGCATAATTGATTCAAATGTTATTTCTTGTATTGAAGTGAATCAATAAGTTATCAATAAAATCACTACAATTTGTAGAGTAGCTTTAGAAATCGCTCACAATTTTTTTCTATTGGTGTTAGATAGCGTTTGGTTATTTTAATTTTTCAATAAATCAAATATGCAACTCCTTGAAAATGGCTTATTCATTATCGAAACTATAAAATATTAGGGTGCTATGTTTGTTACATCTTGTTCTGCTTCACTTAGAACCGTTTCTTGTGAAATATAAGAAATAATGTTGTTACTATTGATTGTATATTTACCTTTGTATTGTATATTTAAACGGTAGTATGTTGGTTGTCATTATTGTGTTTCTAGTGCTACAATTCGAATTTAATAGTGCTATCTCAATTTTTTTATTACACTTCCCAAAAAGATTCATGCTGTAGCACTTGGAACTGAATATTCCAAAAAAGACAACTGTCCACTGAAATGGCTTAGATTTGCCATGAGAAAAACTTATATTACTCCTAATATTCTTCAGGCAGATAGCTTCCAACTACTCATCTTAAAATTTGTGTTGTTCATATTAATATATTTGCTACTTCCTGATGTAAAACGATCTCAACATTTAGATATTTGGGTTTTTAAACCATTTGCATCATCATCAGCAAAATTCATATTCGATGCTTTCGTGATTCATATTTGACATTTACCAGTTTTTTCTTGTCTCGTGTATTATTTTGGACAAAATTTTCTAAGTAAAATGACATGGAAACCCGACTTGATGAAATGTTGAGTATTGCGAAAAATTGAGATCGGAGGCTAAGAGTTGTCTCTCGTGTGTTCAGTCGAATTGGAGGCCAACAGCAGGGAGGAATACAAGTACCTCAGCAGGTGCAGATGGCCGTGGGAAGGGCAGTCACCAATGCAGCCATCAACGAATTTTCCAATGCCTTCAAATTCCATAAGTAAACATATTTTTATTTAACGTTTGCGTAAATAATATTTTTTTCTATTAACATTCTACGCTAGCTACTAACATCCATAATCCTTGTAAGAATTTTATTGGTCTTGTCAACAGAAATAAGTACTTACACTCAGTGCTGCTCCGAAATATTGATTTATAAAGGGTTTTATTTCGATTATTCAAGTTATTGTGAAGGTTCTAACAGAATGGCAATAATGGGTCTTCCGTAGTCGATTTGGACTTTTGAATTGTAACATAAAACTGAGTTTGGAGAATTTTTGTCAACCCCATAGCATGTGTCTTGTACAACATAATCCGAAGCATTTTATTTTTGACATGTCACTCATTTCTTATAATGGTGACTAAGGTGTACTTTACCAAACAATTTTCTGTAGGTGGCATCTTGTACGAGCATAACCTCAAAATCGAGTTTAAATTTTTCAAAAGCACTGTGATTTTAACCTAAAAATTACGAAATATTGATGTAAAAACATTATGTCACAGCCAGTGAGCTAAGGAGTCAACAGATATTTCTAAAATCTGTTTATAAACTCCGATGATGCAATTTGAAATGTCCAAATGGATTAGGGTAAGTTCACTAGTGCTAATCTATCAGAGCCTTCTGCATTTAAATTCAAATCATCACATTTTTTATCATAGTTATATTAATGACGAAATGAATTTGTAACTTGAGACTCGCTTTGATTTGAACGTTAGGCGGTAACCCTTGTTTTTATCGTGGATGAGTTCCTTGTTACGGGTTTCCGTACTTTGAAATCATTTCTGTGCCATCCTGTATGTGTACTAACATCTGTTGATTTGAAATTTGATTTTCTATATTGTTGGGATTTAGCTAGAGTGTATCATAAATTATGTTAGATTTAAGGTGTTGGCCGAGAAGTAATATTCGGCAATTTTTGAGCGAATTCGGTGTAGACACCTTTGTTCAAATGTACCGGTTACTTTGTTACTTCTTATTATACCCTTTTTGAAAATATCAGTGTACATACATATGAAATTGCCTTAGCGATGTTGAAAGTTGAAATAAATACCATACGAAACATTCCAAATTTAGAATAAAGCTTCTATAGCTTAGCAGTGAAATGTATATGCATATATATATATAATAAAATAAATACACAATTAGCTGCAATTATCAGAAATGGCAACGCACATCACTTTAGATAAATGAACATGTTCTTCCATGTAGTGGAAACAGTCGCCTAACTTAAATGTCTATTATCTCACTTATGAGTAGGAAGGATGGGTGGAAGCTTTCGTATTCTTAACTGTGAGAAAACTGTCGTGTTCATGAAAAAGAATCAGATCCAACACACCACTGGATTTCCTTTTTTTTTCAACATTTCAAAAGAGTTCGCACATATAAATTTTTTTATATCTCTTGTCGTTTTGGAGATATTTGTTGTGAAATTTGAAGAGTACATATTAAGAAATAAAGTGGTCAGGTAAAAGTCATTAGAATTACAGATTGGAAAATATATAAAGTAATTGAGTTGAAATTATTGCTGAATAGGTAAATTAAGGATTGTGTATGTCTTTAAAAAATCCGTCATTGGTGCAGAAGGCTTTGGATGTAAGAAAATCTTAGGTTTGACTTTTTTGACATGCCTCACTGTGAAGGACTCTGATAGTTTAATCAATACACTCGTGTTAGAGAATTATATATTCAAAACTGTCATTATGAAATGAAGATGTTTTGTGGTCTTCCGGTGCCTTTGTTGAATTGCACTCTGCCACAGCAATTTTAAAATCTTTCAACAATTGACCTTCTTTGAGTGAAATTTAATTGCTGCCTGAGATTTCTAACAATAACTTCAAGCAATTTCTATAGTTGATAATTATAATTATGCAAAATTACAAATCTTCAATCATTGACAACATGCTTGTGATCCAGAACAATCCATTTAAAATGAAAGTACCCTTATAAAACACATGAGATATCTACTTTTGTATTTTTGAGTCTGAAATCTACCTGTTTTCATCATTTAAGTTTTCAAATATAACACCCTATAGGGTTTTTCTTTTTGGTAACACATGTTAAATACTGTATAGATTGTCTTTAATGCAATACAGTCCTTAAGACTTCGGAAAATCCTCAAACAATATTTGAAGGTTTATTTCCTTATTTGAAGGGGAAAAATATTCTATGTGATTTCACAGTTATTATTTATACTTGCATAAATACCTCCATCACTTGAGGAACAATAATTTTATTACACAGGAACATATAAACGAGTCATCTGTCTCTGATGTATTTTGCCAATAAGTTTTACGCAGATAAAGGTTAACAACTAAAACTTCCTGAAAATATACATTATATGTTGAAATCATCACTGCTGAATATGAATCTGATTACACTGTATATCAACCAGTTCTATCATCAGTGAAAAGTTGTTAATCATTTCGCAGAAGTCATATGTAGGACACAGTTTTGAATTTCTATCTTCAAGTTGTCTAGATTCAATTGATAATAATGAAATTCCGGATAATTCAGTATATAGTTGAAAATTTTGTTTCTTTCACTGTAACAGTTTTGTATGATTTCGTCAAACACTCGTCAAAACCAAGGTAAGTGTGTTTTGCATTTGAAGGTTTCATTAAAAGCACCATTCCAGTGGTGTGTATTTAGTCCATGTTTATTATTTCTACCCAGTACCGTAGTTATAATTGAGCTCGAGAATATTTTCATCTGTCAACGAAATATGACAGCTTTCTATATTTTTTATTCATTCAGTATCAATGGTAGGTAGTTTGAGTCGATTGCATCAGTTGTTTTGAACCTTCCAATATTAATGAAGAAATTTTGGCAATTGCAGCATAGTTTGCTGAATTATTTCTGTTATTATTGATGAAAACTTTACAATTCACTGAATGGAACTGAATAATCACAGTAATGATACGAAGCTTCAGCTTGTTCTTTGCTAAATCTTCAAAAAATCTCTTGATGTTCACTTTATTCTATAGTCGAATCTGTAGTGTTTTTTGCACTAACTCTTTGTTGAAATTAATTTGAAATAATTTGGGTAGTATTGGCCGTAAAGGTATAAAAAGGAAAACAATACATAGTATGTTAAACAGTTGCAGTAGATGTGTGTATCTAAAGAACAAGTAGTATTAGGTAGATGAAAGAAGGAACTCGAGGGTTTGATTCAACATTTGTTGAAAGAGGTGTTTTTAATCTGCTGGTGTTGGAACAAGTCAATTAATGACATACGCGATACATTTTTCATAAAAAAAATTTGGTCTGGCAAGTTTGCATTTGAGTTCCTGGTTGGTACTTTTTCATACCACTGTTTAATAAGTGAAGACTTTTCATTTGAGTTTTTGACAATATCCCAAACTAAAATTATCAGTTTGAATGAAAATGTTCATTTTGTTCATATTATTTCACTTTAGCTAGGTATATTAGGTGAGCACAATAAAAAAACTACTGCATAATTCAATAATATAGAAGTTTCCGTTATCTAGATATAATTGCAACAGGATTGATTAGAAAATATACAGTGTAGCCAGTGGAAGCAAACAAGGACCGATTTCTTATAGTTAATGTTTACAAAAATACCTTTTGGACTCGTCGAATTTTAAAATTTGCTGTAGTGGATATTAAGAAAAAAAGATAATAACAAACAACACAAAATAAGATTTTGTAAACTTTCGAATAAAATTCTTGTAATGTCAATTTTTTGGAAGGAGTCAATCTCCCCAAAATCTTAACCTCACAAAGGAGCTGTATTGAAATTTAATGAAGGTTGAAACTTGAAATTTTTCCACTTACTAACTTTTCATTTGCCTACTTTGGAATATCTTCGTTTTCCACTATTTCACTAACGTATTTCCAGTAACGTGCTTTTCTGGATTTTTACCATTAATTGTGCTGTAATATTAGAGTCATATTAATTTCAATAAAGTCCAATTATCAATTATCGTTCTGCAGTGGAATAAACCATTATGATCAGAATAGGGGAGTGAAATACTGTTGAGAAATTCAAGTAAATGAATGAATCACTTTTATTTCCAATGGAAGATAATGTTGAATTTTTATTATAAGGGAAAGTGACAAGATTGGTAAATGAAATGTCCTTCAGCAAAAATCGACGTGTACCATTATTTCTCCAACTCCATCTGTAAGGAATCGATATAATTTTATTTTCCATTGTCCGCACTGTTTTTTTGATGACATAATGAATTCTGTAAACCAGTCCTACTTAGGCTTACGTTCTCAGTGAAGCCCAACTTGACATGCTGGAAAATAAAGGTCTTCGAAATGAATGATCTTTCATTTTTGAAGAGCTCTTTTATTTCCCCTACCATTTTTCGGAATGAGTTGCCATTTCTCGGAACGAGTTTTCGCATTTCTCTTTTTTTTTTTCATCTTCTAGATATTCAAGTCATCAACTAATAGCATTTTTTTGTGTAAAATTGAATAATCATTCATATAGGATCAGTTTACAGAAGTTATACAAACATGTCATTCACTGACTGCATTTATATCTTCAACAACTTTGATCCCCTCGAGAAGAGCACTGAAAGTGTGTCTATCTTTCTTCAATACTTTTTTCCAGCGAATCGAGATGAAAATAGTTACTATCTGATAGTAATTTCATTTGTTGAAATAAGATGGAACCTTATAAAATATTTTTCTTTAAAAATGATCATTACTTACTAATATTTATGATTTACGCATGAAATAACTATGGTATAATCATTGTTGAATATTTGTAGTTATTTGGGAATGGCAAGGGTATTTAGCTAATATTGTGTTGAAAAAAACACTGACACTCTGAAATTACTACAACTTTATATGCGTTTGTTGGAATGGTTTGTTCGGAGATCAGTTTTGAAACTCGGGCATTTGTATAATGAAATGCTGTCTTGCTTATGAACATACAAAAGAAGCTACGCGTTTCTTTTCTGTTGTATGTGATTGTTGTAAATAAGAAGTTGAACTATATTTTTTGCCAGCTGAAATGTTTCAAATCGTTCAGTGTGCATTGAATTTGCACACATAATTCATGTAGTGATAGCTTTTCTTGAATGTGTAAATATAGGGTTACATTGAGGGTGTTTTATTTTTTAACCTATTAACATTTCTAATCGGCCAGCAAGGAAACGGATTCATTTTTTTTCTGAAATTCTGATTGATGAAAATCTGAGTTAACTGTAATTCAATTACCTTTTCTTGTTGGTTGATGTCTTTCCTTCTTCCTAATCTTAATTGGTGTTTGATTTCTGCTTTGGGTGTATCTGCTACTAATTCTAGGATTGCTTTGAAAGCCTCTACTCCACACTGTTTTTTTGTGATGGATTTACTTGGCTCATTTGTCAAAATCAATGACTTTTTGTTTAAACTTTCAATTTGCTCAATGATTTTCCAAGTGAAATTCTCTATATACCGGGTGACAATGAAATCATTGCACGTGGCGCCTTTCAATTGTTTATGAGGTAAGAAATTTGAAATTGAGATGTAGATTATCGAAGCTAATATTTGCATTGATGAAACACTTGAAACCGAAAATAAAGTCAATTGAAGACTTTTGAAAAGCACCCTGTATGTATTTTTTGGTCATTCGATCGGATATAATATTCCCTTTCCCTGTTGACAGAGTGATCTGATATGTGGTTCACATATTTGGTTTTGATGACAATACAATTTAATAAAATATGTATCATTGAAAGTCCAAGATGGCCGCAGCTACAAAATGTCGGATCACATATTATTTCACAACTACCTCAGAATGAAGAGAATGGGGTAACAAAATTAGAAACTTGAAAATAAAATAAGTAAAAAAATTATGTTTAACGGTTTTGATAAATTCTGTATCAGATTATAATGATGTAGATAATGTACTAAAAACTAAAAAATAATTCGGAAGGTCCTAGGTAGCAGTCAACTCACCACTTTCCTCAGCAATCTACGGTATTGATCAGATAAAAAAATAATAAAATCGTTGGGCGTAGGATTTACATATTTACCCTACTATTTTATTATTTTCTTCATCTGATCAACACCGTAGATTGCTGTGATAACTGCTACCTAGGACCTTCCGAATTATTTTTTTGTTTTTAGTACATTGTCTACATTATTTTTCTCCACTTATTTTATTTAATGGCCTTTATTTATTTCGGAAATATTAATGGGAACTGATATTTTTTGAATTTAGACATCATGGTGTACCTCTTATACTACAAAAAAGTATCGAAGATACTATGCCGCCCATTTTTCTGTACCAGTGAAAAATTAACAGTATCGAAACTGCTCTATATCATTGTGAGTTAATAACTACTTACTTTCTTACAAAGTTCAAAAAGTATCACTTCCCATCATGATTTTCAAAATGACTGAAGTAAAATATGACATTAAAAAAAAAGAAAAAGTACGTGAATTTGAAGAAAATGGCTTTTACGCCGCCATTTTGGATGGAAATGACCTCATGTGTTGTATCGTTGAAAAGAGAATTCGATCAAATGGTAAAAAAATATACAGGGCTCTTGACAAGGGTTTATTTCCGGCTAACCCTGTATGATTTTCAAGTGTTTCATGACTCTACCTTCATTTCGATTTTAAAATTTCTTATCTCGTGAATAACTGAATAGCACCGTATACAATGATTTTGTTGTCCTATGGTAAATGCTTCTTGCAAATTGCACATTTACTGAACATTAACTTTCTAAGAAAAATAAAATTGATATAGCAAGTCGAGAAATTGAAAATTGAAACTGTTGACAATTTTGAAATTCACGGCCGGATTCATGATTGAAGAGAACAAAACTCCAGAGACTGGTAGGCCGTGGTACCTGAAGTAAAAAAACGTTTCATCTGCTACTGAAAGAAACTTCTTTGCATGATCTATACATCTTTGTATGGAGTTGATTTTGAAATTGTTCATTCCTTTCTTTGGAAGATTCCCACATGTTTTTTTTTGTATCAAGATGGAGAAATAGAAAGCCAAAACTTTTTCTGAAAATTAGTCCAATTGAAAAACCTATCCTTTTCAATTCTTGTTTTGAAAAAGTCCATCGGATTATACGGATATTTTTTTCAATCAAACTTATTTTAATTTGGATATTTCAGTAGACCGGTACCCAATATTCCTCCAAGAATACCCGACAGGCCACAAACAGGAAGACCAAATTGAGAAATTTTCTAGTCAGAGTATATAGTGTTGCCTGTCTTTGGGACCAATGGTGAAAGCTTATCGGCAACAATGTAAATTCTTGCAGAGTGAGAATTAAATATTGTGATTCTTGGACTACTATTGTGAGCAAAGCGACCCTGTTTTTGATTTGGTACAATTTTAATAGGTATTTTTGGAAAGACTAGTCTTTATATTATAGAATACAGTGAAAACATTTCTTCTTGCATTTCGTAGAAAAATCAAAGAAAGTTATGTAATCGATCATTTGTTAATTAGTCAGTGTACTTAATGTGGAAGAGTATGGTGAACTAATAATTCATGCAATCAACTTCTAATCTTAGCATTCAATGTTGAGGAGTAGAAAGCTAGGCAAAAATTGTCAATTTAAAAAAATATACTGTCCTGAAACATTTTTATCAATGAAAGGTTTTATTTAGGCGCGTTAATTTATTATTTATGTAGCAGAGTTGTAGTAGACAACACCCTATATCCTTTGGATATCTAATTCAAGTTCAGCGAACTTGGAATATATATCTTATGAATTATCCATAAGATATCGTTTGGGCACAAATTGGATATCCAGTCAGTAGACGTTTGTGTGCTGTCTGGGAAACATTTTGCATAATTGTGTCCTTTTGGTAATAGCTTAGGTAAGTTTCACCTATTATTGAGAAACCCATGCAGGAATTATAAACATATTTTTGGAGAGGCTGGAACTCATTTGTTAAATAATTTATTATCACTGTATGATAGTCTCGACACACAATTTTTTAAAGACAGATCACAAACATTTATTTTAGATGCTTACCAGGTCGTATACCAGCCACTATTTATTCCTTTAATATTACAATTCACCCTGTGATCAAACTTTATGTAGCACTGTAATTTTGAAACTGTTAATTGGTGAAAACCCGAAATCACTTGTCACATTCAGTGGGATATTTCTTATGGGTTTTGAAGGGTAGTGACTGTATGTAACGAGTAGGTATTTTATTCTGTATTTCTTTCAGTAGGTACTCCATTAGGTTAGGAATCAAACATAAGAGATATATGTATATTCATCAATGTCGCAAAGCCATTTATTTTCAGATCTCAATTCATAGACTTGATTAAAATCTTTTTGTTGCATTACATCGTCCCTCCTATGTGTTTGCAAATATTTTTAAATTTTCAGGTCATCTGTGAACATGAGATAGCCTAATAATTTCAGCACTGAAGGTAAAAACGAAAAATAAGAGTTCTAAGTTTAAAACCTATTGATCTAGATCAGGGGTCTCCAAACTTTGAAGCCTTCGGGCCATAATGATTTTTTCAGTTTGTTCCAAGGGCCAATTTCTGCCCTCAACTATATTTCTAGACTAGGATAGTTGTAAAGTGCGTGACCTAAGCAAACTTACCCTTTTTTTGCATTTCAATTATTATTGTGTATTGTGACACTTAACGACATCTAGTGGCGAGTAGTGGTACTATGTACTATCTTTTTCAGCTACCCGCTAGGTGGCATTAGGCGTAATTAAATATTTGGAATTACCGCGCTGGTTCGAGAAAGTTCTGGTTCTAGCTAGTGTATTCCGATCACCTCGAGATGGCAGTAATAATTGCATATAAAAAGGCTAGCGGCGCAACTGCGAGTTAGTCTGCGTAGGAAAGGAGAAGGAAGCGAAACTGTCTATTGTGAAATAAAGTAACACCTGTCAATAAAAGTATTTTGATTTGACTTATTGTTTTTATGTGTGATTTGTTAGTATGGAAAAGAAGCGAAAAATCGACAGTGAATGCAGAACGTTCCAAGAAAAATGGAACTTTCGGTATTTTGTGGTTGAGTCCAGTAATAAGATGCTATGTTTAATTTGTAATGAAACCATAGCTGTTCTCAAAGACTATAACATTAAACGACACTATGAATCGAAACATCTTCACAGGAAGTTTGCGGAAGGAAACATTTGAAGCTTTGAAACGCGGACTCAAATCGCAGCAATCTTTGTTTACCAAAGCGAATACTGAACAAGAGTCTGCAACTCGCGCCAGCTTTCGTGTGGCTCTTGAAATCAGAAAACGTGGTAAATAAAACCGAGTAATCATCATTCTGTGTTTTCTTCTTCAACTCGTCAAGTTTGAACAAAATGAAGTTGAGTTCAATTCATGAGTTTTTCAAATTCACTTCGAAAAGTATTCAAATTGGTGTTTAAAATGTTGGGTTTTAATTTTTAAAGATATTTGTTTCTAATTCATATATTGGCAACAGCGCCTATATCAAGTTGAAATAATTTATACGTACCTAGATATTCTACTTTAAAAAAGAAAAATTATCTTTATAAATCAACAATTAAGGCAAAATATGAATTATAGTTCAATACCACCTCCACAAGCCACATAGACAACGGTTGTTTTGTTACTTATTTATATACAGGAAGATAGGTTAGGTGCACAAAATGTCATATGTCTCGGAATATAAGTCAACAGAACAGCACGCCTCTGAAATATGTCTTCAGGAGGAACATTTCCCATTATAAGCCATTCTTAAGGATTTAAATACAGACTCGGAGAGAGAAAACTACTGAAGATAGTCAACCACTTGGGTTGGCAAAACATTGAGAAACTCATAATATAGAATGAAAGTAAATGTTATAATGAGAAATTTAATGCCATGATCAGGTAGACATTTTTGTGTTAGGTTTAGTTGTATTTATATTCAGCTAGTTGCAGGTAACTTATGTTTCTTGATTTGTTTTGCCTTTTCCATTGATCTGAATACCACTTCAAAAGTTGAATTTAGCTACCAAATAGATGTCATATCAACGAATACTGTCAAAGAGAAATAGTGATATATAAATTGAGAGAAACTTTTGAAATAGTTCACTAAATATTTTAAACTCGCTGTGAGTATCAGTCAATCTTCATATTAATACTAGGAACAGTTAAATAATTAAAATGATATTTTCCTCCAAGACTTTATTTGAAGACATTTTGCTTAATCCTATATCATCAACAAATTATTCCTTTTCAAAAGTGTAGTATTTCTTTCCGTCTTTTGGATACTGTGGAGGAACAGTGGCATGGAACATTTTGAAATTTTCCATTATTGCATAGATGGCATATGTACCAAACATGAATCCAAGAAATTGGGCCCAGTAATACCATAAAGGTTTCTGAAGTTTGAGACTCCAATCATATCGATCAGCTCTAATCAAATCATATTCAGCGTGGACCTAAAAATCATAATGATCATGATGAATTCAATACTTTTGTTTGTTTGAGTTGCAACAGTATTTCAATGAATAATTAAAAAAAAATAATAGATTATCCAAATATATGTTGATACTTGCAGGTTCATTGAAATTCCTCTTCAATTCGGGGTAATCCCAAGGATAAAATGGATCTTTAGCATCTACAGATATCATTGGTAGTTTTGGGTAATCACCTAATCCTTGCCCATCGTCTGGATAGGGCTCATATTCTTCAGGAAGTAAATTATATTTTTTAGCAGCTGCTAGCCTTTCAGCCTCCGTTTTAGGATAGGGGCCAGGTTTGTAGTCCTTATTCCAGTCTAAAAGTCGCCTCAGTTACATAATACATTTTTAGGATTTTTTCGCAAAACTACTCACGGTTTCTGATGGCAGTGACTAGAACAGTGTTATTTTTCATCCAGGCATTGGGAGGTTTGAGTCCCTTCATTAAAGAATTCATTTTTTCAAATCCCAGAGAAGTTTAAGGTTAATAAATATTCAGTAAATGACATGACACAACAAGAGACGTCTGTCATTTCTATTTGACAGAACTTTTCACAGAATTACAGAACATATTACGTAAAAGTCCTGGCAGGTAATCTTTAAACCAAACAATACTCTGTGGCAGGGGCAAGAGAAATAAGTTATAAGATAAAGGATTGAAATTTGAAAAATATACCCCGTTAAAATGCAATCCCACCAGATACATGATCTTGACCCGAAAGTAGTGAATTTGAACCCGTCTTCGATCAGACATTTTTATCTCTAATATTTATCTAGTTCGAGTCAGGTAGTTGACTCGAACTACATGGATGAGGAGACTGTGAATAGAGATATACTCTCAAGTTGACTCGAGAAGTTATTAACACAGGAACATTCATTGATATTCCCCTCTAGGCAAGATTCGGGTTTACCTCTTGGTCTAAGCCACAGAAGAATATTTTTTGAATAGCGCAGATTTTCATATTTCTGTAAAAGAATATTTGTGAGTACAGCGGTATTCAATACTTTCCTAGAGTTTACCATTTGAATTATCAAACCGGCAGCTGATTAACGGAAAAACAGATTTTAAACAGATTTTAAACAGATTTAAACAGATGTTCCTCACTCTAATTCTCACGATGTTGAAAAAACATATTTATAGAAAAAATAGTGAACCACCAGAAGCCAATTTTCTTCAACATTAACTACACAATATTCAACCAACCTGATTGAAAGATGTTTTCAAGTGAAAAATGTTATATAGTTCATATAGAAATAATCCATAATGTCACAGGTCGCAACTTTCAAATATGTCGTAGTTCGTACTGTAAAGGTTGAAAAGTAGAGAGGCACCTTAAATGATATAAATACAATACATAACCCAACTTTTTTAGTGGGTCGATTTTAGTAGTTTTAATAATCTTGAAAATAATGATCCATAGTTTATTTATAATAAATTCACAGGGGTAAGTTTTGTCTAAATATCTATTCTGAGGCATTAGAATAATACTATATTTTCAGTGACGTTTTCCTTGAAAAACACTGGAGAAGTGTTATACCCCGTTCAGTATGTGATTATTACTTGGAAGCCCAAAGGGCAAACGGTAAGGATATCAACCCAGTGATTGCCACACCTCATCATTACCTTATTTCAATACAAAGAGGTGGTGTGAGTTTTGTAGCAGTATGCATGGAAGAAATTCCTCCCCTGTTTGTTATAGAATTCCTGCACAGGGTTGTAGATATATTTCAGGTTGGGCCAGTACTTTATCATTAAGTTTTTCATAAGTCCATTATAATTTTAGGATTACTTCTCTGACTGTACGGAATCTATCATCAAAGAGAACTATGTGGTTGTGTATGAGGTAAAGAGTTACTATTTCGGATATAAATGTTTTTAAAAGATGACCTTAGCTTTTAGATGAAATGTTAGATAATGGTTTTCCTTTGGCTACGGAAAGCAATATTCTCAAAGAATTGATTAAGCCACCCAACATTCTTCGAACCATTGCAAATACTGTGACAGGCAAAACTAAGTAACTATTGGTCCCATCACAATGAAATTTGATTTTGAATGTCCTATGATTTATTTTTTAGTGTCAGTAATACTCTACCTACTGGACAGCTCTCTAATATCCCTTGGAGAAGATCAGGAGTAAAGTACACGAATAATGAAGCTTATTTTGATGTCATTGAAGAAGTTGATGCTATAATTGACAAATCTGGTGCCACCGTTTTTGCTGAAATTCAAGGATATGTACTGTCCTGTAAAAAGTTTCATTCAGCTCTAGTAAAATGTTCTGATTTCAGATTGATTGTTGCATAAAACTGAGTGGAATGCCTGACCTCACACTGTCATTCATCAACCCTAGGCTTTTTGATGATGTTAGTTTTCATCCTTGTGTCAGGTTTAAAAGATGGGAGGTATGTAAAATTCCTATATTATATAGAAATGAATTTTGAGCAAAGGCAGTGATATCTTTCATTATGAAGACATCATCCACGGGACTGATAGAGAAATCAACGAGGCTTCTTAAGGCAGTCCGTTTTGTCCTCTGTCTTTCTCTGCAGCTTTCACTGCAAAGTAACTAGTTAAAACCAGAGATAGAAAAAATCATTCGTGATCCAAAGCCATACAGTGCAGTTTTGTGCTGTGTTGAACCATGAGCATTGTTGGGCTCAACTACCCTCAAAGAAAAATCCTGAATAAGAAAAGACAATAACATTTTCTTTCACGAAGACATCATCAATGCAATTGTGACAATACTCAGTTAACGACTACCATATGAAATTTGTCCTTTGTCCCCCACTATAGATTTGACTGCAAGGCCAAAAACAAGCGTAGCACCACTGATGAGACTCAATGACAGGTAGAAACAAGGCTGTCTGGTAATAGATCACAAATGCTCTATTTTTTTATATATGTTTTCAACTTTTGAACAGATGTTTATTATTTTTATACTCCCATTTCATTCACCAAAACTTTGAAATAGTCTATCCACAGTTTTGGTGTTGGAGGTGTTTTTATTTTGAGTTGCTGTTTTATTGCAGGCTGAAAGACTACTTTCATTCATTCCACCAGACGGAAATTTCAGATTGATTTCCTACCACATTAGTAGTCAGAGTGTAGTGGCTATACCCGTTTACGTTAGACACAACTTGTCTATCAAAACTGGTGAACAGGCTCGTTTAGATTTGACTGTGGGGCCTAAGCAGACCATGGGAAGAACAATTGAAGGTGAAAATCAGATAAATTTCATTCAATGATGCTTCGAAAATTTCAATTCAAAATAAACTACCTAATAATTCCATTTTCAGGTGTTAAGCTTGAGGTAATGTTTCCTAAATGCATTCTGAATTGTGTTCTGACTGCAAATCAAGGGAAATACAATTTTGACCCTGTTTCCAAGATTCTCCATTGGGATATAGGAAAAATTGATGTTACCAAGTTGCCTAATATCAGGGGTTCGGTAAGTGTTTTTCAGGTGCTGAGCAACAATGGCTAATTTTTATCCATGTATTCATCAACAGTTTTAGTAATCTCAGTATCATTAATCTGGTATTAGGATCAGATTAGGTAATCCAGAGATTATTAATCTGGTAATAAGGAAATTCATATTTGATAATCTCAGATTATTTTTGTCATGTATTAAGATATCTAATACATTTATGCACTTATACATAATACCTTACAATTTGAACATACTTTAATTAGCTCTATTACTTTCTTATCCAATTTTGGAAAATTATTTTTACACCTGATGCTTTGTTTCAATTTTCTCCAAATCAACTACATAGAATTGAAAACACAAAAATAGGGAGGAAGTCTCAGTATGGTGTGTCCATACTTTTCAGCAATACTCTCAAGGACATAAACTTTTTCAAATGTTTTTGTCTGTAGATCTTCAAGTAGTTGGTTTTTGATATAGTAATCTTCAAAATACAAATTATTATCCATTAAAAAACTTTGGATTTCATCTTTCCTCGATCAAGAACTATTACACTATTTGCATCCAAATTTGGGATCAATGTGTTTTCAAACCATTCCTCGAAAATATTAGTCTACATGTTCTTATGATAGTCAACGTTGCATTCCTCAAGTTTTTTCCGTATAATTTCAAAGAATTCGGAACCCATCCTTTACTTTCTCCGCAATGCACAGTGATTAGTCGCGATCCTTTGTTTGCAGGCATGTTAGATGTATATATTCCCGAATCATCAATCCACCTTTTCGTAACTATCCAAATAGAAAATCTGCCGTTGTTCTTGTCTATATTCAGTTATTTGTTTCAAGTATGTGTTATGCAATTCCACTATTCTTCTGCTTTCCATAACTGCTTGACGTTTGTTCATTATTTTAAATCTGAATCCTAGTTTCTTTATCCAATTCTGAAGAGTTTTGTCACAGCAGTTCACGTTATGGCCGGAAATATTCAATTTCTTCCTTATGATTTCAGTTGTTGGAATCTCATTGCTTTTGCAACAGTCGTATATTGTTTTTTTCAATGATTTTATAAGATGAACATCTACAGGTTTTGGTAATCCTGTATCACATCGCGTCTTGCGTTCATAAGGTTTGTTTTTGACTATTTTACGTACAATTGAGCGAAGAATTTCGGTCAAATCTCATGTTGCTTGTAATAGTTTGTTTCCCTCGAAACCAAATTTGAGATGTAGATTCTTATATACATTGAAACATACTCTCTGTTTTTTTAATATTCAAATGCATCTGAATCTTATTCATTGGTATCTCTTTTTCGCATTGTTCACCATCGCTATTGGAATCACTACACTGGAAAACGAGTTAAGACACTCGTTTTTACTATTAGTACTTGTTCCAAGACGCCATATTTTAAACAGATAACAAAAATATGTATTGGTTTTTTTGACATTTGAGAGTGCCGCCAACTTTAAATGTGCACAATATCGTTGACTTCGACTATACCACATATCTTTACTAATGTAGGTCATCTGTACCTATACTCTTGATGTTGGCATTCTGTATCTTTATCAGATGTAGGCGACATGTTGATTTTTCTCGAAATATCACATTTCTTCTAGAACTATAAAAAGATTGAACAAATGGTGAAAAACTTCTCGGGCAACTTTTATTTAGAGGAACGAATATATTTTTGTAGATCGGCAAAAATCGTCGGGAAATTGCTTTCTTATTTTCAAATTTTCTTGAATATCAAATAATTCTCCATTCCAATGACTTGATTTTATTCGAAAGATACCACAGCGGTATGAACGACAGGCGTGGCAGAATGAAAAAAAAAACGATTTTGAAAACTACAAAGCAACTTGTCTAACCCATTATATAAAGTTGAATCAACTCTGGCTAGCATAGCACCCTAACCCTTAAAGTGGTAGCATGAAAGTTATTTTTGAAGCTTCCTTTTTTTCAGTTGTACGAGGTCTGTTCAAAAAATAGGTGAATGTTCAAATTTTGCTTGCTACGTACCTTCGATTAGCGATTTTTTTAAATTTTATGTTGGTTCACCCGTCTCGAACACATCTTCATAGTTTAGCTGTTTATCATGTTTGTTGGTGTGAGGCATACAAGTTAGAAATGTGTTCGGCGATTTTCTGCTATAAAAAATATTTTTCACATATAGTCAGTGGGCATACTTGAAGACTGGCTATAAATCAAAATCATCTAAAGGAACAATTCGTTCAGGACAGTCTCAACTCCCTACACTGTAGGTTAATAGACTGACATCTAACAGAAAACAACTACTACCCTGGCTAATACTACGAAGGGAGGTGGATTATATCTGACAGGTGTCAGTGCAGGATTCTTCACTGAAGTTATTCCTGCATATGCTGTTGGCGATAAAACTGCCGCACTAGATTTTCAATTATTAGAACACACTTGCAGTTTCGGGCTGTTTGGCCACTCGTCAGTGCAAGGTATTGTCTATCATCAATATAAAGTCGATAATTTCTGATAATTGAAAATCTAATTCCTCCAAAGTATCATTCCTCGAACTAGACTGAAGCAGACAACAAAGAACTGGTGTGTCATCGCCCCATCTGCCTGTGAACGAGGTAACCAACCGCATATGAGAATGGCCTGAACGAATTGTTTCTTTTAGATGATTTGATAAAAAAAAATTGATCTTTTGCATCATGATAATGCACCTGGTAGCTCGTTCGTAATTCTTTGGCCGAAAACAATACCGTTTTTAATGCATCAGACACCTTATTCACTAAATTTGCCCCTTTGTGACTTTTTCTGTTCCCAAGATTGAAGAGATCCATGAAAGGACAGCGTATGCGACGATTGAGTTGTTGAAAACCGAAGCGCCGAGAGATCTCAACCACAAATTGATGAATAACTATAAACATTTTTTGACAGACATCAAAATTCACCTAATTTTTTGAATGGACCTCGTATATCACCGTCTTTGTGTATTAAAATATTTTTCCCAACAGGTTTCCATCGCTAGCGGATCGAATACAGCAGAAATCAACCCATCGATAAATGTCCACTTTACGATCAGTCAACTAGCGGTCAGCGGCCTGAAAGTTAATAGGTTGGACATGTATGGTGAAAAATACAAGCCTTTTAAGGGAGTTAAATATATCACGAAGGCTGGTAGATTCCAAATTAGGATGTAGTTCCTTTCTTTTTACTACGCAATCAAATCAATCTGATTGTATACGTTTCCATTCAGAATCGTTAAATGTTGCTTACTGTTGCAAAAACAATTTGTCTCCTTCGAAATTTCCTTTTCGCACTGAAGTGGGTAAAATCTTGAATATTCTGGTGATCTTACGATCAAATTTTTCTATAAATATTACGAAAATATTGACAGTTTGTTTCAATTATTTTTTTAAAAACAAATCTACCAAGACTATGTTTATATACAAATCACGTTGTATTTTTTCGTAGTATCAACTCCAATATTGTGCCCTATTCTTGTAGCCCCTTTATAGATTATAGCTCTGCGGAATAGTTCTTATGGCGAATTTCCACCAAACGGACAAAACCACATCAAAACAACAACTGTGTTGATTTCGACAAAACAAAAACTTGAGTTGTCAAAACAAGAAACATTTTGAAGATTTTTTGTCGCCGGTGACATTTTTTGTCAACAAAGAAATGTACCGTCGGCAGGCAGAAAGATCAAAAGGTTTCAGTGTTTTGTCTGTGTTTTTGTAAACAAATTTCGTTATGTAATCCGGTCAATTTAGACATTCAAAGCTACCTAAATTCCCACCAAGCTGAAAATCAACTATTTTTATTGATTTGTTTTATTGAGATTTAATTTTCCTTTGTAGAACATGAGCGAAAAAAAACAATGGACAGGTGAAGAATGCAGCAATTTAATTGCTGTCTATGTAGTGCAAACGATTGAAAACAGTTCACAACAGAACTCGCAACCAACTCAGACTAGTTTTTATCTGTTCGGTGGAATTCGAGTTTGTTTTAGAAACTGAAACAAAGTATTTGTTTCGTTTTCGCTAGTCACAAGTGAGTCCTTTTGGTGAAACCCATTCTTAGGCTCAAAGAAAAATAGTTTAAAACTGATTTTACGTTAACTGTAGAATTTACTTAGCAGTTTGGAAATTATTTCAAAAGGTAGACATATTCATTTTTTATTGTCTAATACTAGTTTAAGATAGTTACTTACTTCAGAGTTATGGTGATTCTCTCGAATTTTTCCAATGAAACACACTATAGTTAGTTATAAACTTTGGCGTGCTTCAGCGAAAACATTGGCAAATTATTTAAGCCTTGTGTTACAAATCTTGTCAATTTTATAGGTGAAAGACTTTTAATTATCAAATTTTTGAGTTTTTTCATTACAAACAAATGTTTTCTCTTCAAAATGTCAGTTTAGATACGAACTCCAATGTGGGTTTTCGATTCACCAAGTATCAGAAAAAATGATTTTGTTCAAAATATTATTTCTCGACGAAAAAACATTTCAAATTTATAGCTTCAATGATGTTTTTGTTGAAAATGTTGACTGTTGAATAGGACTAACTTTGACATTCATTATAACGTATGTGCAGCTTATACAATGTGTTCAAATTACGGGGGGGGCAGTATGGGAAGATTGGAAACCATATGAGATACAGAGTTATCCATTTTAAAAGTTATTTGAACGACATTTTAAAATTTACCAATTAAACAATTATGAAATATGAAAAATTGAAATCGGTGATGTGGCAAAACATAATAATAATAATAAACGGTTTTTTCACATATAGTCAGTGGCTTACTTGAAGACTGGCTATAAATCAATTAGATCATTTGATTTATGTGTGAAATATATATGTATATGTAATATAGGTATATGTGAAAAGTTTTCTTTCCTTATATGAGGAGTTGGACAAATTTCAGATATGCGGTTGATTACCTCGTTTACAGGCAGATGGGGCGATGACAAACGTGTTGTTTGTTGTCCGTTTCATCCTAATTCGAGAAATGATACATTGAAGGAATACTATTTTCAATTATCGGAAATCATCGACTTTGTGTTGACGATAGACACTACCTTGCACTGAAGAATGGTGAAGAATGGCCAAGCAGCCCGAAACCGGTCTGCAAGTGTGTTCCAATATTCGAAAATCTATTGCGGCAGTTGTATCGCCAACAGCACACGCAGCAATATTTTCAGTGGAGAATCCTGCCCTGACACTTGTCGGATATAATCCAACGCTCTTCGTGGTAGTAGTCAGGGGAGTAGTTGTTTTCTGATAGGTGTCACTCCATTGACCTACAGTGTGAAGGGGTGAAACAAGTGCTTTCTTCCACCCGGCCAACTGAACTAAATTAATACAGGGTGTGCCTACTTGACCTATTACAATCAAACAAGTAGATTTAGATGGTATAAAACACTATAGTGTACAGATATTTTTCTCAAACCTCAATTTCCACTTAATCCTTCATCACACAATGTTCAACTCTTTTAGACTCTGTATTCGCGAGAACATGATTTTTTAATATTCCTTTTTCATTCCCATGGCTATTTTTAACAGTTAGTTTTTTAAAATCAACTATATATAGAGGATGCGATATTGAATTGAACCGATCATGGAAAATGAGAAATGAAACTTTCTCTTTTTTACCACTTTTTACCAGAAAACTTGTCATTTCTATACCATCTCATAACGTGTTATTTATTAGTGAAATTCTTATAGATCAGATTGATTGATTGACATTTAACAATTGTCCTAGAAAAAACTTGATTTGTTCCAAACCTAAAACCACCATTCGCTAAATTGTGAAAATATTTTGAACGACTAATACCCATTTATTTTTGTTACTTTTGTATATGGTATATATGAATTTTATGTTACTCTATCCTTAGAAATTGGTAATAATATAAACTGAAAAAAAAAGTATTTTAATACCCTTCGCTACACAAAACATTTAAATCGTATATTGATGATAACGGAATTTTTGATAACGATTTCACAAAACAGGATATTTTTATCTTAATGGATCAAAGATCTTTTTAATCTTAAAAAATAAAGCATGATAATATCTGAATATTCTGTCTAGATCATTTCAATCAATCTGTTGATGACACTGTAGTAATTTACCTTTGTCTGATAAGATTTGGTTCAAGAAACTAAGTAGATATTTTTTTGTTGGTGGACACTTGAACGATAGACAAAACAAAATCATTGTATGATGACAATACTTTGAACAATACACAAAAACAGTTTTGATTCAGCGAGTTTTTGTTTAACCAGTTTTCTGAAATAACTGACCAGAAACAAGTCGATACCTCTTTGGGATGATTTTTATTTTCAGCTCGACCGATTTGGGTGCCTTTTTAAAAACTACTTTGGTAAACTTCATTTAACATTTTTTTGTTTGATTTAGTTCAATCAGTTCATAAATAAAAAAGATATGCCAATTTTACAAGTCACGCCAAAAATTCTTTGCAAAATAAATACTATAAAAATAATATTCAGATGATTTTACTGAAATTGTACCTAACTTTAGTTATCATTTTTTCCTTACATATGATAATGGATATAATGTGTATACCATAAAGGATAAAATTGGGAGAGTATTCGTCAGATGCGTCATCACCGATCTCCGCCTCAGTGGATATATTAATCCGGTCAATCTAGACATTGGAAGGTACATAAATTTACAACGAGCTGCAAACGCGTGTAAACATAGCCATCAAATACGACCGTAATTCTGGCACAAAAATGTCTACGTACATACTGAACGTATTTATTTTAAATTACAACTTCAGAGATGTATATACTTGGCATATTTATGCATATAATGACGATTACAACTTTTTGACTCATATCTCACAAACGGTGGCTCTAAAAAAAGTATTGATATATTTTTTGTAGAGAATTATGATCTACAATTTTCATCTGAGGTTATTTCATGACAAAACTTACCGTTTTTGACCTTTGACCTCGAATACATTTTTTTCCAAGCATAGCAATCATTCGGAATTACAAAAATTTATTTTTAACTATGTTTTGAACAATTACACGCATTTGCAGCTTGTGAATCTATGTACCTTTACTCTTATTTTTTAGTCTAATTTGACCGGGCTATATCCACAGTTTCCAAAATAGAAATATTAATAAACCTGACTTGATCCTCACGATGGTGTGTATGATACAAATTTCGGGTGAGACAAATATTTTACATACCTGAGATGAGCACTACCTGTCATCCTTTCACCAGACCCAACCCATTGTAAATAGAGATAGGCAATAAAGGCACATAAATTTTTGAGTACCGGTACTGCATAATACAATTTACGAAAGGACTGAACAGGGTCGTGAGTCAAAGTATGAAATATAATTATGTACTCCACAGTCTTGGAGAAAGTTCTGTGAGATTATCTCCAATATACCTCGAAGTACTGTAATTGTTTCCCTTCAGAGAACCGACCGCTGGTCGGGTCTATGAAGCGACCTCTTGGCACATTTTCATTCACTACTAGAAGTTTGATAGCAATCGACCTCCTTTCTTCGGGGGTGCCAAAGGTCCAGCAGAGAAAGACTGGTAGGTGGCCAAAAAAGTTATCACAGTATCGAAATTTGAATAGGCAATGAAATCATCGCGGCTCTACAAATCCCCCGGCTCATTTTCATGAAACTGTATAGAGCCAGTCTGGCATAGAATCAAATATCACACAAAGGGTTAGTTAAAGTTGGTAATGAGTTACTGTTATTGCATAAGATTGAGGTGCCCTCATATAGGCCTCATATGGTTAGCTTAAATATATATACGAGGGTTGCCTTTTATGTTTCGGAATTTGGTAAACCTAGTGTTGCAATCTGGCAACTGACAGCTCTATCGTAAAATTAGACATTTTTGAGCTTATACGTACTCGAAAAGTTTTGACATACGCGCGCTGTTTGTGTTGTTTACAATAACTTAAAAGATTCATCTCGGCCCAAAAATGGAATTAAATCGTGAACATTTTCGTGCGATTATTTTTTATAACTTTCGACGTGGCAACAGTGGATGGATGAACTTAATTCAATTTTTGGCGATGAAACTCCATCAAGGACCAGTGTTTATCGATGGTATGGTGAATTCAATCGTAGTCGTAGTTCACTCCTAGATGATTTTCTGTGAAAGTCGTCCAAATTCAGTTGTTGTTCCGAAAACCATTGATGTTGATGTGCGCCAACTTATATTGCAAGATCGTCATGTGACCAATCGTGAGATTGAGACAACCTTAGGCATTAGTGGGACCAGTATATATTCAATATTGCATAAATATTTGACTGTAAAAAAATCGCGATGGATCCCACACAATTTGTCATTCGCTCAAAAAGAGGCTCGATTGTGTCGATTGATCGAAGG